GTGGACGTTCATAGCTTCCAGACACATCAAAATCGCCTGGGCCACTTGGCCTAGAACATCCAGGGGTGGCAGGGTGTAACCTTCTGGCAAGGTGGGAGGATAGTCTGGAAAGCCTTTGGATATGTTCCCCAACGCCATGATGATGTGATGGACTTTTACAACAGGTAAAATGTCGTGACCGCCTTTTGTAGATGCCTGCAGATTGATGGACAGTTCATCCATTAGCGGTTTCACGAGCGAAAGGAAAAGTGCCGCCTGTTGTTCTGGGGACCTGAACAACAAAGAACAAAGAATTCCGGTGGTTTCGTAGAGATATAACTGTGAATCGAAAGCCGAGCTCTTGACCGCCTCCGCAATGGGGTTTTCATCACTGTCATCACATTCTGGAATTTCAACATTTATGGGCAACAAGTCGAGGATGCTCTGTGTGATGTTGGCACTGATGTCAGGTGGGATGTCGTTTTTGGCTTCCTTGATGAAGCGGTGGAAGAGATAGTACAATCGTAGCCGGAAAGTGGGATTGTCATTGTGAAGACCACTATTCAATGATCTCATCAGGTTCAGAAGACGGCCAGGGAAAAAAAAAACTCAAACCGATTGTCAACCATCGCTTCCAACGTAGGAATGATGCACTCTTTCCGAATTTTGAAGAAATCAGTATAGCGGGAGACCGTCTCAAAGAATTGAAGAGAGACAGCGTGGTGTGGATACGAGGAGATGCCGGACTGGACAAGGGCATATAGCATTTCCCCATGTGTCGTCAAAGGATATTCTGAATAATCTGTAGCTTTTCTCCGGTCCTTGTCAACAGTTGGTGCATGACAAAACGCTGCACGACCTTTCCCTCCAGCTGTTATGCCTGGTGTAAGTTACGCACAACTTCTCTGAGTGGATTGAGCGTACTTTTATTTATTTCACCAAAAATGTAAACCAGGTAAATGCCAAGCTCTGCATCATGCCAGTCAATAGAAATACCATTCTGATAGGCAGATATGGTATTCAAAGCCAGGGTACGGACGGCATCCGTTACAAGGTTTTGATCGATTGAAAGGATGGAATCCATGAACGTTCGTAGTTCCTAACCAAGAAAGATGAGCCCAGGTCGCGTTGAGTGAGTTTAAGGTTACCTTCCGGATCTTTTCGAATTCTGCATTATCATCTTCGTCGGCATCAGCGGGGTCGGCATCAGGGTCCCACTTCATCTTTGTCAAAAGAATCTGAAGAAGAGAAACAAGGAAGGACCGTTTCATATCATCAATAGGTTCCGTTGAAATTTTCCTGCTACGTTTATACTGGTAACAAGCTAAATACACCAAATCATCATAGAAAGCGATTGATGGACTCACGCCGCTGAGGATGATCTGGAGGAGGGGAAAAACAGTAGAGCATGTGTCATCATAAGGGTCAGCCAGAAATCTAAGCATCACAGGCAGGAGTTGCGCCATAAGTACTGAAGCTTCTTTGCGGATCTCTTCGTTCGGGCAATCCTATGAAAATGGTAAGAATTGGCATCTCAGGATTATTGTGGAAGGCGTACATCAGTGAGCTTTGCCACTTCCAAACCCAGAACATTGAGCAGCTTTCCAAGTGCCTCCCGATAAGATTCTTCCCCCTCGTCTGTATCCGCACCACGTTCAACCTGTTGCGCTTGCGTCTTTGTCTCAAGAGCGCCCAAAACGTCTCCCAGTGAAAGCACCTTGAACAGGCTCAACTTATCCCCAGGTTCCTTTAAACCCTTTGCGACGATACGAAGTAGGGCAACGGAAGTTGCCAGTCGGATCGGTAATGAAGGATCGGCAAGTAGGTTGAACAGTAAGGGAACAGTGGTCGGGGTTACGGTCAAGTTTATGTCAATCCATCCTTTACAACAACAGATAAACCAAGGTAAAACAGTGCCAACTGTTGTGAGAACTGCAACTCACCCACGTAGGACCCAAAAGTTCGAATTCCCCAGTCCACCACTTCAACTGCCGCGTCCAGATCTCGAGTGTTGGAGCCATCTTGCTTCCTTAAACTCGACATCCTCTCCGATCCTTCTGCAACCAGCGTCAAAACTGCCTCATTTATCCTCGCCGCATCTCGGTCCCGCACAGCGTCGCGCACTCGGGCATCACGGGCATGTCGATCGGCGTCATAAGGTCGCGCGGATTTTATCATCTGATCTGCCACTTCTCCAGATATCTCCAACACGATGTGGAAAAAGAGAAGGGATATATGGCGATTGAATGTAGAGTTGTCCGTTGGCCGAATGAGGGAAAAAAGATCGGAGAAAAATGTTGGCCATTGTTCACAATATGTGCATAGGAAGAAGAGTGTAAGAGTATGTGAGAATTTATTCCTGAGGACTGTACACATGTCAACGCGTTAGAAAGAATACCAAGAAGGGGGGCAGAAACTCACAAGTAGCATCCGATTCAGCAGATCCGCCAACGTATTCGGATTGAATGTACGATACTAGAGCTTGCTGTATTGTCTGGAAAGTTTCTCCGTCTAGAGGCTCAAACCTGCCACAAAACGGAACGAGATCGTTAGTTAGACTGATAGAGATGGTAAATCTACACAGTATAGTACAATGAGACTGGCCCAACAATCACTGCGATAGTGATTGTACAAGTATTCTTTCTAATACAAACACGCGAAGATACGCGTAACAACTTCGAAAAAAGTCACTACTCACCGATTGTCAAAAAACTCGTCCAGCACCCGAAGCGCAAAAAATCGGGCTTGGGAAGGATGTTTCCTGGATCCTTCGGCATTTCGATCGACAAAGATTGGAAGAGCCAGGCGCCACGTTGAAGGCGCATTTTGTTGAATATTTCCAATGTAAGCGAGGGCTTGCTGATGTAGCGAAACCTGTGTGGGATCAGAGGCAATGATAATGGCTTGCACAACCTGATCAATTTCGCGCTCCATCAACGTCAACCAGGATGTGGATGATTCAAATAGGACTCGAGCCCACAGAATCCGGTAAAGCGAAGAGAACAGAGGTCAGATTGAGCAAACAACCGAGTCAAGATGATTCTTGCGATGATTACACAAATTCGGCAAACCACTTGCCACGTGCCTTCGCCCCGTCGATCATCTTTTTCAAGAGCACATCCTTGACTCAGGGTTGACACGGCATTGACACGACAGCTCTGTTCTATAGTATGTGGATGGTTCAATTAAAAGCGATTTATTATGACGAGTACAGGAATATGTCAATCAGAGCTATGGCAATTCAACCTTAATCCAATGTTGATGACAAATTTGCAATGGTCGTGTGAGCTGCATTTATATCAGGAAGGGAAGTGAATACATACATTGAAAATTCAGGACATAAAGTCCGCCTGTGTGAAGGCCCGCATAAACTCGTCCTGTAGCTTCATCAAAGGCGAGAGAAAGGCAGTTTTTCGTTTCGAAAGGCAATGCCATATCTTTCGGGTCCATAATATCAGCGTTCCTTCTTGAGAGATGCTGCTTCTTATCAATTCGAAATTATCTGTCTCCCAATGACGAAGAAGCCAGAACGCATGCCTTCCAATACCCCCAAGGCAGACAAGGTCGACCGATGTTTTGGCAGGGGTTTTGAAATGTGTCAACGTTGCTTCAGCTTTTTCGATGGACGTACGAGAGGAAGTCTCAGAACACATCCACTTCCCTTCTGATGCATGAAATGGGGAAAGATCAGAATTGGGAATGCGTCTGGTGGGGGGCTCTTGACCAGCTCCGCCGAGATGTGGATGTCGAAACTATGAAGAGGGACGGTGATCTCCTACCGAGCGATGAGTGGCATCGAATCTTTCAAATCAAGGGATAAATGGCTCGGCTTTTCAGAGTTTCATAGCAATTGCAGCGGAGGGAATAAGCACCTATCGCAACGTTATCGTTGGTGTACCGTTGGACGCCCACGACTACAGCGCGGTCCAGAAAGACCTTAAAGCGGACCCTTTATATGAAGAAACTCATGTTATCCATGTACAAGTATTGACAGGCGTGAGACCTCATGCATCAGTCGTTTTGTAGGGAAAGACCAACGGATAGTTGTGTTGATGTTGATAAAGAAGATTTCATAGGACGGTGGGCTGATCATATCTATAAATCGAGCAATACTGGCAGAAACGACGTTTCCACGTATCTGTATATCAGAAAATGCCCCTTCCGATGTGGATCTGAGAATGGTGTGGATTTTGCGGGTCCTGCAAGAATTGCCTGTTTTATGGGGCAAAGAGAAGGAGTAGATGTTCAAGTGCCTTCAAAGCAAATTATTAATGGATTGAGAAAGGGGGCAATTAAACGCACTCTGTATGCATGCCGTCATATTCGATCGTTACAATATTCCCCATGTTCTCTGATTGATGAGCGGCAGAGAATGACACCCCCGCAGCAGCATGGACAGTCGACCATCCGATAGCAGCTGTTGTCTCTCAAAGATATTATGGACAGCTGAAAAGCCTGGTGCGACCGGGCCAGGGCCACAAGACATCAAGATTCTAGAGGCTGCATCTGATGAACGACGACATCCCGCTGTATTCGGAGCAATTGTCGGGGACGCCCAGGCCAGTTTCGTTCAAGGCGTAAAGCCTTTTGCACGATGGCTTGTATTTCAATGTTATTGAGCGCCTTAAGGCCTTGATTCACAGGAAGATTCAGTGGCAGATCGATTGCTACATGATGCGTACACATGCAATCCGAACTTCCCAAGACATGGAGGACACATGTCTTGGTGGAAGATGAGAGATTCTCAGATTGAATGATAGAACAGACGACACAAGTACCTGCTTCAGAGTGAGTATGTCTTCGGGGAAAGAAGGTCGAAAATTGCAAGTATGTGCTGGCCATGGGGTGCAGGGCCGTTGTTTATCAGAACATAACAAAGTACGCGATGCTTCCTCGTTATTTTTGAGTCCCTATTGTAAGCCTGGGGGGGCTTACAGCAAAACCTTGTACTGCGATGTCAATGCAGGCAGCTCATCCAACATTGTTTTGTCTACTATAAGCATACGTATGAGTATGATTAGGCATTAATGGGGTAGTGGTAACCTGGGTCGTTGCCATTCGGTACTTATGTGCCCTTCGAGCTCGACCCGCCGGGGGTTCAATTCCCCCTTAATGCAATATGCAGGTGATGGAAGTTCGTTTTATCCAATCCTACCACACTCAACATACCCGCCATTATACGAATCAAATTTTGCATATCTACATTCATGTTCTGTGGGGACAGAGCGGTAAGGCATGCTTTCCTACATGGTATGTCGAAAATGTGTCAATAATCACCTATATAAAGTCAAAGGATACGTTGAATTACATTCAAAGGACAAGCAGAGTTCATACCTTTCCTGTTCCAATAAGGAACGCCTGGAGCCCTGTGTTCGACTCTTTGGTTGGCAGATAGATCAAGGAATGAGAATTGTAGCTCTTTGTTATCTCTGCTCACAATAAGGGCCGGGGCATCGAGCCGAAACAATGATCTGTTTCCTACTCTTCAATCTTAACGATCTACAGGTCACTGAAGTTGTTCGATGCGTCGATCATTGTCAAATGTTGAATATGCTGCTTATCCAGGCGCTAGATGGATGGATGGATTTTTTTGACGCGGATCACAAAGCTGCACGTATACGCATTGAAAGTTCACCCATTTGTTTCAGCTGCGCCTTCCCTTTCCTAATGATAACTAGGTAGCAGTCCGTTCCACTGCAGATTTTGAGGGCCATCTGTAGAGATCGTCTTTAACGTCTTTAACGCGCCGACCTTATTCTGGTATATCCATGGGCAAATACAGCGGTGAATATCAAACAATAATACTCTAAGGACGAGGTCGAAGGACGCCGCGTAGTACTACTTGAAATTATTTCTTTCTTGTCAATTTAGGGTTTCCGTGAATAAGTGTTGAATTATTTCCATGTATTTATATACACTGTTAATAACATGTTATTTCCATGTATTTATATACACTGTTA